CTCGTTAAATTTGTAAATGTGTAAATCTTAATTCCCTGCACACCCTTGTTTTTCCTCTTTTGTTCTTCCCTCTTGTTCGTCACTGTTCGACGCGGTTTCCATCCCAAAGTGGACAAAATTCCTTTCCATCAAAATAAACCGAAGTTTGACGCCATTTCATTCATCCACCTTTTTAAGCAGCATTGTGTATGTCCTCACCTGTAATCTCGACTATATTTGCCACGCATTGAACCCCCACACATATACCCATTCTTAACACATTACAACGTGTGACAATTTCTCACAGAGCAAACATGACGAATGTTGTAGAATGTACCTTCAAAACCCCGCCCGAAAGTGCAAGAGCACCAGACAATGCCGTCATTTGGAACGCATTTCAATACTGTGATGAAAAAGGATGGTATTCACTAACGAACCATGATGAGATAATGCTCAGACCTACTGCCTTCAGTGACGGAAGAATTAAATTTCTACCTCAACTAGATAAAATCCCAGACGAATTTCAATCCGTTTTGTCTGGAAAGTATGATGCTAAAGCTTGGGGAAAGGATGATTGTAACATAGTTATTGAAGGTGATAAGGACGTGCATATAAGCCTTCCAGGGTTGCAAGAAAAAATTAATTACAACCACAAAGAGAGATTCCCTACATTCTTGAAAAATTGGAAAATTATTGTGAGTATGATAAATGAACACATAACCGTAATACGGATAAACACAGAAACTGCAATAATTGTAAGCATAAATGAAAAGAGCACTGTAACTGTTAAGTGTGTAGATTTTAATAGCGGTTTCTTATGCGTTAATCCGCATACAAACTTGGCAATTGCATATGGCGGTTTCGCCTTAAGTGAACTTAAAAAATGTGAACTGGTTCCAAACATCACACACGAAGGGGCAGAATGGGGATTTTTTGTCCACCTATTTAAATGGGGACACATTATTATACCAAAAGATATAGAGATTAAATTACCATCCCCAGGATTAAAGCTAATTGGGAAAAAAATAGACACAGTGGCGACGATTTCCCTTCCGCCAAACATATATATACAGGTAAAAATTGATGGACCAAAATGTATAAGAAAATTAGAGTACGGACAGGATTACAGCATAACGGCAATTAAGAGTAGCGAATCGGACATTGACATTTATCTGCTCTTCGATGGGCAATTAATAAAATACGAATTTTCCTTTGATACGAGACTAAACAAAGTGGGGAAAGGAAGATCCATTAATTATGCCAAATTGAAGTGTACAAATAAGAGCAAGGAAGTGACTTCTTTCGTTTTCCAAGCAACGGCAAATTCGAAATTGTTGTTAGATTCCAACTGTCCAACGGATAATATGGGTCATCTGCTGTGCAACCAAACCATTTCCGTCTTCGACGCGGAAACTGGTGAGTACCTGAGCCACCCCCAGGGCCTGCAGCTAACCAAAGTGTTCAACACCTTGTCGTATCCACCCGAGAAGGAGTAACGGGCTGGCCCCATTGAAAAGGGCCGCACAAATTAAACGAATTTGCTGTGTTTTAAAAGGTTGGCATCAATTAAACAAATTTGCGGCGTCTTAAAAGGTTGACCCCATTCTTTCCGCTCAAATCCTGGAGTTCGCCGCTTTTTTTTTTTTTTTTTTTTTTTTTTGCGTTTCCTCTCTTGCGCTTATCCACGCTTTCCACGCGGTGGGCCTGTGGTCTTCTCCCACGTAGATGAATGTGCATACCCGAAAATGTTCATACCCGTAAATCTGCATAGCCGCAAATGTGCATAAGCGAAAATGTTCATACCCGTAAATCTGCACGCAGATATATCCTATGGCATAGCAACTATGCCACTTGTCTGCACGTTGTTGTCGTTTTTTCCTCCCCCTCCCCCCTTGCATATATTTCATTCTGCTCTTAACCATTAATCGTGTTATTGGCCAAACCCGGATCCACCCCATTTCACCTTCTCGAAATGGACTTTTGTTTAAAAATGTTAACTGGCTAGGCATAACCTGTGTGATTTAACGCAGACTCCAAGCTGTACAAACTGGTTGTCATTGCTCATACTTTAGAAAAGCACATTCAGGAAAAAGAAAAAATAATTAGAGGTCTTTTTTTTTTTTTTTTACAAGATTAAAAAAAATTAAAAGTTTAAAAAGAAAAAATTAAAATTTGTAAAGTGGGAAGTACACTCCGCATACCTATTCCTGGGCCAAGAAAGGTGATTAAAAATTTTTCAGAACACGTGCGCCCGTGTGTATATCCCTACTTCGCTAACAGGCCCATATATGCCTGACTAAATGGACAAATATTTGAAGCATAGCCTTATAATTTAAGCAATTTAAAAAAAGCACAACATTATAATCCCTTTCGAAGCATGTGGTCAAATGTAATTATGCGTGTATGGGCACTCCCGGACGGAAGCTAATTAGAAATATTCTACTATACGAAAATGTGCCTTACTAATACGTAAGCGGGAAAAGGGAAAACAAAAGGTACGCATATTCACGTGGGAATGAGAATTAAGTATTCAAACACA